TGCCCCCTCCCTGCCCCCCGCAGATGGGGCGGGTGGGGAAGAGGCAAGCCTCCAGGGCCTTCAGCCTCTACGCCAACATCGACATCCTCCGGCCCTACTTCGACGTGGAGCCCGTCCAAGTGCGCGCCAGGTGGGCAGGGCCCGGCCTGGCCATCTCCGCCGGTGGGGAACGGGCGGGCCGGCGGCTTCTTGCCGGCGAGAGGCTGGCTGTCCCCCCAGAGCGCGCAAGCTGGGGTGGGCTGCCGGCCTGACAGCAAGGCTCAGATACGGGGAAACACGCTATGCTTTGTCCCAGCGTCCTTAATGAGGTCCCCCAGGTGGGCTGGCAGCCCTGTCGCCCGGCATTGCTGCTCAGGGCTTCTTGCCGGCGAGAGGCTGGCTGTCCCCCCAGAGCGCGCAAGCTGGGGTGGGCTGCCGGCCTGACAGCAAGGCTCAGATACGGGGAAACACGCTATGCTTTGTCCCAGCGTCCTTAATGAGGTCCCCCAGGTGGGCTGGCAGCCCTGTCGCCCGGCATTGCTGCTCAGGGCAGAAAAAAGGGCTTTGGGGCATCTTCAGCCTTTTACTACTCAGGTGCATTATGTGGCTTCTGTTGGGTTTGCAACACATCTGTGTCCGAAAAGGCAAGGTTTTGTGAGGCTGGATGAAGAAAGGTGCTTTTCCTTCCTGCTGTTCTATCAGTGATCTCTCATACCTGAGTGGATCCCTAAACGTTTTCATTGAATCCCCCCCAGCAAAGTTAACCTGCTGACAGTAAGGTTTTTCTCCTTTAGTTACCTTATTTGACCCTTTAGAAGGAATCTCTGTCCCCCAAGGCCCGTGATCACAGCAGAAAACACTGGTAATGGGTGTATGGGATCTTTTACTTTTGAAGCATTTTGTTAACCATCCTGTTGTCTTCCTTGCTCCTGATGTCATTCCCTGCTTTACTGTGATGCAGACTGCTGGAGTCCATGATTCCTGTGAAGATGATTAATTTCCCACAGGTGAGTTCCCTTTTGCTGAATCAGACTCCATGCCCAAGTGAACGTCCCACAGACGCCCTGTAAAACTGAAGTATTCCACGTTATTAAGGACCTGAGTTTGTTAGGTTTTCATCTCCCTGAAAATATTGGTAAACCTTTTCCTGTGGTTGTTCCAAACCCCGATCTGCTACCTTTAGTGCTGATACAGTTCTAGACCTCTAGACTTAACGCATCCCAGACTCCTCATCACACAACCTATTCTGCCTGGCTTCTGTCAGCAATGGCCTTCTCAGGCGGATAGATGATAAACTTCATCCAAGGCACTTCTCGCATCACTCGGGGTGGGGAGCCTGGTATTCAGGAGCACTAACCAAACCTTCCCTGATCTGTCTCCTCCCGTAGAAGATTGCAGGCGAGCTTTATGGACCCCTCATGCTGGTTTTCACACTGGTGGCCATCCTTTTGCATGGGATGAAGACCTCGGACACCATCATTGTACGTTGAGTCTCAGTGATAAGTTGTGGTTTGACCGGGCTCTGGATTGCTGTAATGACACTAGAAAGGGAGAGGAAACCTCTTCCATGACTAAATAGCATCTTGCTGAAAAGCACATTGATTTGAGGAAGAGCCTGTTGGTTTGGGGATGGGAGGAAGGACGCATGAGGAAGTCTTGATGCTCTGCTGCTGGGAGAGCTGGGATGTCGGTCACATGGCACCCTGCGTGCTGCTAGTCAGCTATTTGATAATGCCTAGAAAGGCTCTGGGAACTCTCTGTGGTGGGATTTGGGTGCTGGCAGGTCACTTAGAATCATAGAATAGACTATATTTCAAGTTGGAAGGCACCCATAAGGATCATCGAGTCCAACTCCCTGCTCCTCGCAGGAATACCTAAAACTAAACCATATGACCAGACGGTTCTTCTCACTTCTTTGAGTCCTCCTCATCCTGACGCTGTCTCCACAGAGGGAAGGCACACTGATGGGCACAGCCATTGGCACCTGCTTCGGTTACTGGTTGGGCGTCTCCTCTTTCATCTATTTCCTGGCATATCTATGCAATGCCCAAATCACAATGGTGCAGATGCTGTCACTGTTGGTATGTACCCAGGGATGCCCCAAGGTGCGGGTTGGCTGCATGGTGTTCCAGCACAAGGGTGGCCTATGAGTTCTTCCCAGAGAATGGGAGAAGTCTTTGTAAACTGGTGGTCCCAGGTGACTGCACTGGGACAACCTGGAATTCCAGGATGCTTTTCTGACCTGCCCCATCCCAGGCACAGCAGTAGCACAAAGAGGCAGTTCCTTTGTGCAGGTCTCCTGCTTTGCACTTCCTGATCTGAGAGCCTGGTGGTAAAAAAACAGGAGATTCCAATTTCCCTGGAATCAGAGGCTCTTTCCTCTGTTTCCCAAGTTGTCGCAATCTCTGACATCCCTGTGAATCCTTCAGACAGATTATCTGGGTGTGAACTGATGTTAAAATTGTTGTGCTGGTTGACTCTGGTATTGAATGAGTGGTTTATGAAGCTTTGCCTTGGTGAAGCGTTGCAGGAATAGGCTGCTCATGCTCTTGATCAACGGCCTTTTGTGTGGGACTGATGCTTGTAACATGGACGTTTTTGTTTTGTCAGGGCTATGGCCTTTTTGGACACTGCATCACTCTCTTTGTCACCTATAACATCCATTTCCACTCCCTTTTCTACATCTTCTGGTTGGGTGTTGGTGGACTCTCTACACTACGAATGGTAAGGGACAGGCAGCCTGGGGCCCTCCTCTTCTGGGGACAAAAAAAGGGAGGGAAGTGTTGTTTGCGTTCTGTTCCTTGGGCCAGGCAATTCATTTCACAGCCAGTCAGGCTGCTGTGAAGAACAGCCTGACGGTCCTGGGTCATTTGGCCACTGGTGTAGAAGGTGACGCTTGGCTTAATATCTTCGCACATTATAACAGCTGCAGGAGGTTTGCTCCCTTACAGCCCCTGTTGCTGCGGAGAGCCATGCCTGAGCACCCTGAACTCTTGACAAGACTGGGCAAGGTTCACCTACATGAATCAAAGTCAGATTACTCTGAATTTGGTGACGCAAACTGGAAAAAAGGCTCTGAGCAGTGTTTCCACTGGCTCTTGCTACTTGGAACATCCTCTTGTGTGCTCCTGACTGCAATGCCAGAGGCTCAGGTAGCACCTACCTTGTCTCTAATCTCCACCTCTCTCCTAGGTTGCTGTGTTGGTGTCGCGCACCGTGGGGCATACCCAGCGGCTCATCCTGTGTGGGACTCTTGCTGCTCTGCATATGCTTTTCCTCCTCTATCTGCACTTTGCTTATCACAAGGTGGTAGAAGGTAAGCAAGGGAGATATGAAGAAATATCCTGTTAGATCTGGGGGAAGAGGAGCTGCTTTTTGTTCTCTCAGAGAGAAAGGATGGACAGTTTGGATCTGACCTGAGGGCATCTGTGCCAGTTTGCAACCCAAGAGTGACCAGCATGAGCTTTATTAGAGGAAGCTGTCGAAGTAGGGCAGCAGGTAGATGTGGGGTAGTCTCTGTGCACTGAGTTTTAGTACTTACAGCACTTAAGACCTAAGTTGTGGCGCAGGACGCTTATTCTTTCTCTCCACAAGTGGTGTTACAGCACTGACTGTTCTTGCATGCAGATGTCCAGCCCCTTCCTGAATCTTGCTGAAGTCAGGTTGCTTTTCTCTGATCAGGAAATGTGTCATAAGTCTTTTTCCTTTTTTGTGTGACACCTTTTTTTATCTTGTGCTGTACAACGCTGATAGCAGAAGCTGCATCTTCCCCAGTCAGTGCCGTTTACCAGGTTATACATATTCAGGTCCCCTTTAAAAAAAAAAAAAGCAAGCCCCTTTCTGAGTTTAGGCAGCGAGATCTGTTCATGGTATTGCAGCTAAATCTGCATAATTTGGGGTTACAGCACAGCATTACAAGTCCTTTTAGATGTAAATACTGTTCTTTCCTGGATCCATTCTTATGGCGAAGGTTCTGAGCCCTGATGGGCAACTTTTCAGCAGATGAAATAGAAAATTGCTTGGAGTATATTTTATCCTTCAAGGATATCCAAGACAGATTATTAGTCTTGAGAAGGTCATTGACAGGAACTGGAGGACACTTGCATTGGTACGCATGTTTCCTGCCAAGCAGGGGCTATTGTTTGCACTGCAGTGACAAAAATTCCACATTGCACCCCCAGCTGCAGCTCCTGATGTGAGTCTGCAAGTGTACCTCGGGATGAAAGCAAAAAATTGGTCTAAGAGCAGGGTCTGTGCTGGGATGAGGTGGGGAGGGGATTTTATCAAGCTGCCTCAGCAGAGCAGTATCCCTGGCAATGTCTGCATTTGGGTCAAATGGTAGGGGACTGGATCTGGTACCCTCAAAGTGAAAGGATCTATGTTCCTCTTGGGAACGCGCAGTTTCCCTGCCCCAAGGACAAGCTCTGATCTGTACCCTGTGGTCTCTGGATGGAGGTGTTTACTGTTGTTCACTTCTGGGACTAGGTGTCTCCTCCCATCGTCTCCAAGTGCTTCACATGTCTTCAGCCCTGCCACCATCAGCCACTACCTGGCCAGAAGGAAAAGCGAGAAGAAACATGCCATCTGCATCTGTACTAACTCTTGCCACTTTCCCCTTTTTTTTTTCTGTTCCCTGCAGGTATCCTGGACACATTGGAAGGACCCAACATGCCGCCCTTTCAGAGAGTTGCCAGAGACATTCCGGTCGTTTCCAATGCTGTACTGAACACAACAGCCAAAGCCGTTGCATTGACCCTGTAGTTTCACAGACTTGGACTTGCTTCCTTCACTACTTTTGGGGCTGCATAGGGCCGTAATAACCTGCTGCCTCTTAGGAACTGGACAGAACAGCAGGAAGAAGACTTGGTTTTGTTTTCCTGGACCTGGCCTTTGGGTTGCAGTTTTGGGCAGCTGAGTGAACTGCACGTCAGTGACTCAGAAGAACTACACTCTTCCCCCACCCAGGTCTGGGCTGTCTTGAGTAGAGTGGTTCTGTTGCCTGCATGTTTAGCTGGGATTTCCCAGCACAGTTGTCCCTTACCCCTCTTTCCGCTTGCTGATGTAACCCCAGGGCTATCTGCCCTGTTCCTGTCCTGAAGAGGGAAGAATTAAATTGATGTTGGTGCTGAGTGATGTCTTATGTTTGAGCCTACTTGCGTAATGGGAGAGTGGTGCTGGGTCTCTACACCTCTATCTGTCCTGTCCTAGACTCAAAGCAGGATTCTTTGCAATTTTCTGCTGTCCTACTTCAAATGTACTGTGATACGTGGCCTGTCTTGGACACCTTTTTCGTAGCCCAAAAGGCACAGGAACTTTAGTTTCTCTGGAGATTTTCAGGAACAGCACGATGTTTAAGCACATTCTCTTCCTTGTCATGTTCCAGATTGATCCCGCTCTTCACTTGGTCCAAGCTGCTATCTCACCTCACCATCCCTTCTCCTGTGTATGTCAAAAATGCATCTGCCCCCAAGCTTCCACAGCACTTACTGTTCTTAGCACCCTTCTGCCCATGTTGCTCTGTGGGATGGCAGTTCCGACTGCAGGGGCAGCATGTTTGTGCGTGGTCTGTGGATATGTCTGTTGAAGAGGCCAGTTCACCTCAGCTCACCCTCGTGCAGCTTGGTCTCACGTCTCCCAGCCATGGGACTGTCACCCCATTGCTGTGAGCAGGACTGGCATCCTGCTACCCCAGACACACAGTCTGCTGTGTACTGTCTGGCTTTTGTAGACTCAGCTTGGCCTTATTTCTGAAAGGATTCCTGGTGCCTTGAGAGCCTCTGGCAAACTTTTCTCCAGCATTTCCATTAAACAAGGGGAGAAATGGGGGAGTATACAATAGTAGTAGAGTTGGCACATTTATCTCCAGCATACTGATGCAGGAAAACTCCTGCATCAGTAGGATGGGGAAGCAGAGCAGCCCAGCCTAGACTTACTTGCACTGCAGTGACTCACAACTGCATAGTTCTGTCGTAGCCTTCCCTCACTGCTCTAACTTGTACTGGTCCAAGAATGGAAAGGTGTGAGCTGCTATCTGGCTTTCACCTTCTCCCCCTTCTCCCTGTAGCTCTGGCTGACTGGGGGAGAGGAGCCACTCCTCAGAGAAGTTCAGTCATGCTCAGGCCGGAAAAAAACCCAAGAAGTTTCCCTGTCTTGGTGTACCCCTAAGTTAGCTGTGCACAAGGCAGATAGCATGTCAGAACTACACTCTTTGGCCCCTTGCCTATATTAGTGGGAGAGGATGCAGCTGTAGTGGCATTCGGACTAGTGCCAAGGTGCAATGAAAGAGAGAAAGATAGCACCAGCTACTGTCGTCAGGCTGGTCATCTGCTTCAGTTAAAACAAAAATGTAACCGGATAGGACTTGCACATTTTCAGTCACAGACCTACTTTCCACTGTTTGCTTATTCCCGAGTTCATAATTTGTTCCCCTTCCAAGGGCAAGAAGCTTGTCTGCTAACAAACACATACATAATAGATGTTCTCTCACTCTCTCCCCCCCGCCCCCACCTTAGGAAACGTATTTTGGCTGAAGAACACCACTCAGAGCAAGTTGTTTGGGGGAATGAGATTAATTATTTGGGCTAATAGTCTCCACATTTTTTGGACCAACTGAACCACTTTAAGCTCCTAGAATTTCCATTACTTTCAAACTTGACAAAATGGAAGTGTTAGTTTGTAATGCTGCGTGACTCTGGTATTTCCCTCTTTATAACTCCATGGGAGGTTGGTTTCTAATTTGCACTTCTTGCCCTGGCAGCCTAGAACGGATCTGTTTCTCCTGGTGCAAACTCTCCAAGCGCAGGCAGAGGGGAAGGAAAGGAGAAAGAGACAATTGTCACTAGAATAAATCCAGCCAAGAAGAAAAATTGTTCTGTGCCAAACGCTATCACTGCTGATCTACAGACACTGTCGAAGAAGAGCTGTGCTCCCCTCCCACACCTAGCCACTTGGCTAAATCAGAGGGGTGAAGCTGTGCCTTGTGTTTTCACTCAAAGCACAGGAGAAAGCAGTGAGTAAACTCTTCATGCTTCCCCTGCGCAGCTTGTGTGTCATGTCAGCTGGGGACAGAAGACGAGGGTGACAACCAACCACGCTCTTGGAAGCTGTGGGGCTTGCTCTGCTCCAGTTCTTCAGCCCTGATTAATTCTCTGTGCAGCAGCAGCTGGAAGCTGAATTGTTCTATACTGCCAGAAATTCAACACTTGGCTGAGAGCTTCAGCATCCTCTTCTGCTAACAGAGAGGGACGTGCTTTTGCAGGGAAATGCATGCGTGCTGCAGTTCCAGGGAGCATGCTGAGCACGCAGCCTTAGTGAAGACCTTGTGGGAGGGCATCTCTCTGTGCTTACTCAAGTCTTCTAGTTATCAGGACAAGCCTTGCAGCCCTATCATGCCAGACTATCTCTGCCTTTGTTTCCTGCCATGGCTCTTGCAGCAAATCTAAAATAATTTTCTCCTTCCTTCCTTGCAGCAAATCTGAAATAATTCCCCCCTATCACCTTCCCCTTTTGAGGAAGGGTAGATCTGTGAGAACTGCGTAAGCCCCTTTTTATTAAAGCTGAAATAAACATATAAAGCAGTCAGATTAGAAAGAGGAAGATAAAATGTATATTAAAGCATCTATGACCTCCTCCTCTCCTCTGCAGTACCTGGGAGTCCAACCCTTCTTACAGTCCATCCTTGTTGCACTAATCATCACCTTAGTTGCGGTTTGGGTTACAGGTAGGCTGTTTCTTCTCCCATTTGTTTTCCTTCCTGTGTCTAGCCTCACTCTAACTGCTCCTCATCCACTGTTTTTCTCTGTTTATGTGTTAGCTCTTAATGGCATCAGTCTAGAGAGTGAACTCTCATTCCTTGTGCCCCCAGGAGGTAAACAATAAACTACCTTCCTCATACCTGCTGGGTAACGGCACATGACAAGGAAGCAACATCTAATTCTTCACAAAGTATTACTGCCAAATTCCCCTCTGCATAGCCCTGAATTAGGTTTAGTGAGGCAAAGCTTCAAACCATTAGCTCCTGTGCCACTTTTCCCAATGTATTTGAGCATAAAGCAAGGTAGGACGCTTGTCTCCTCAATGTGCTCTTGCTCCTGACAACAGGCAGTGAAGATGCCACCACTAGGGCATCTTAAGCAATGCTTGGGGACCGCTGCTGTCAGTTGAAATGGGACATGTCCCAGGGGCTCTCCTCCAAGCACCTCTCTAATAATAGCCTGTTTAATGAAGCATGGGTTTATTAGTGCCTGGAGGCAATTGCAAGGTGAGACTGAGTGCAGTCTTTCAGTCAACCTGTATGGATCAGCAGCTGGTATTTCCTTGGTCACCTCCCTGCCCACCACTCTGACATCCAGCCTCTGCGCCTCACAGCCCTGCAATACGCAGGATCCCATTCTCACCTGGACCATTTAACGTGACCTTAGAGATCAGTCGCTCCTTTTTTGAAAGCCATCACCTGTACCACAGCTGGATGCTCGCAGCTGCTGCTCATATCCCAGAGCAGATATGTTGCCAGGCCAGTGATCTGGTCTTGCCGCAGCTTGCAGGTACAGTATCAAGCCCATGCATCTCTGTGCAACAGGGAAACAGAGAGAGGTGTGTAGATAGCTCTAGAGAACAGCGCAATGGATTACTCAAAGGGCATGGTGACACCTACACTGTACATTAGATGCTGCAGCCAAAGTCTTAAAGCTGACATCTGAGTCCAGCTTCTTATCTGCTGCTCCCCTTGTCTCATTCAGGACCTAACGTGCAGCCCTCAGCTTAGGTGACCTGCTCCTCCATTTCAGCGGAGAATTGCTTCACGTCCCCCTCCACATCCTATTTTTCCCCTCACTTTCCATCCCCTCTCTTCCGCCCTGGCCTGCAAACCAAACAGAGGAGCCTGGGTTTATCCCAGAGTTAACCACCGGACTGGAATTCACTTGAGTGCTGCTATATGCAGCAGCCAGATTAGTTAGGTGCAGAAAGCTGCCTACTTAGGCGGTTTAACCTAATTTCCACATCACTGGCTTCCTTTTTCAGTTCAGTGGAGCTGAAAACACAGGGGCCCTGCTTCCTATTTCTCTCCAAATACAGGATTACCCGACGGGGGGAAAGAAGCGACAAATCCCTCTGATCCATACCTGCGAATTAGCAGGGGGCCCCTCATACCTCAGGTCAGGCTGAGGCTGAAGGCTGCATGCTTGCAGGGATATGGAAGCCTGCAGCATTTCCCCAACCCTCCACCTCTCACCAGCTGCCTCCGAGCACCAGCTCCATGAGCCCTGGGCCATGAGGAGCAGTTCACACTGACCTCGCCATTAAGCCATGGCTCCAAGCTCAAGGTGTGGCGGGTTTAAGCATAGAAGTCATCGACGCTGGTGGAAGACTGCTGTTCCTCAGACCAAGAAGCACCCAGACTATGCCATGGCCCAATGGCTTTGACCCCTTTCCCAGGTAGGAGCAGGGCCAGCAGGGAGAGCCCTCCCCAGGGGCTTTT